TATATATATATATATATATATATAAAGGTTCTGAAGTGCTGATTTCCATTTCCAGTTTCCTTTGACCTCTCCGGTTGGGGTTTAGTCGTTTGGTGCCTCCCGTCTCTTCTCCATCATTGTGTTATTTCTTTGGCACTGCGGAGGCGAGCGTCATGATGTTCTGAGCCTGCTTCAGCGAGGGCAAGTCAATCATGCTGCCGCGGAAGGTGAACGCACCCTGAAGAGGTTTGCATACGGGGGAGAGCAGAAAAAAGAAACATGGAAATATACAACAAATGAATGCTTTTCTGAAAAACGATGTAAAAAAAACTGAACAAATTGCRTATTTGTGCATCAAATGAACAGTAATATGTTAGAGTATTTAAAAACAAGCACCGGTCATTGTAAAGGTGCAATCTGTCAACATTTAAGCCGTCACACACAGAAAAAAAAGGCTCAAAAGAAAGAAAAAAATAGGCATAAAGTCGACAGCAGAGGAATGGGGAAGATATGAGTCCCTCAGGCGATGCCCTGGCAGGGAGAGAGGAGTGGGCAGATTGTGTATTACCTCAGCAGATAGCCCACAGAGCTCAGCACACAGGATCCAACCATGCACTAAATTAGGGACAATAATATTGTACACTTAATTGCCCCCCCCTCCTCCACTCACTGTCCTGAGCCGTCTGAGAGTCACCCAGGGGTGTACAGTATGTATTCTTTGGAGCCACGAAGGTGTGCGAGGGGACAAACAAAGGATCAGGTCGAGCATCAGAGCAGAGAAAACACCCGTGTCATCGCAGCACACGAGGCACTCGTTCATGCTGGAGACATACGTGTTGGAAAGTTTTCCACRAAAACCTTTTATTACACTAACCCTCTTTATTAAGTGCAAAAGCATTCAGGTACCCTACAGTTAAAAAAGGAATCAAAGCATTTTTCTGAGCTAWAAATGGTGTGAATACACAATTAAAATCAGCTGTAGTTACCTTTCCTTCTTTCTGATGTTGATTGAAAGCAGAAATGAGCTCGCTGGCCCATTGAACCCTCTCTGGACTCGGGGAGAACTCCTCCTGCACAGCCTGGATCTGCCCCGGGTGAATAACCTGCTTACCTGTGCAGACAACACACACCCAACATTACACTCTACATCACACACACGCAGAAAAAAATTTAGTTTTTAAAACTTAATTATCACTTTCTGCGTATATATATATATCCCATGTCTATTTTTGTGCAAATTCAGACAAACACATGAAACTGCACGAAGGAAAATAAAACATGACAGCTGGCACTGCTCTGCAAGACAGGAATAACAGYGCTGAAAAGTAATGAGCGGATAAAGCAGAAATACCAAAGTCTGGACYGATTAATAAATGTGTAACCCCAGAACTGCATAATAACTGGAAAACATGCAGTTCAGATAATAATTAATATCACAATAATGTCGCTTTTCTCTTTATTTTCTGTCATCACAACGGTCAAACCCTCTCCATGAGCTTTACAGGTTACCCATTTTAAAATTCCCAAACTCAAATTTAGAATTCTTGGCCAAACTTTTCCCATGAAAACACAGCACAGATTGTACACTAAAGATAAATAGAAGAAGCACTCCTAAAACAAAAAAGTTGTCTGTTGTTATAATACATTCATGCTCTTAACCAAACAGTTCATGTCTTTTTATATAAAATTTTCATTTAGCAAAACTACTTTATGTTTCACTTCAGAAACAAACAGCAAAAGTAGCTTATCGGCTAGATTTACATACAGTTTGTGCGTTACAATGTGCATTACTATAGTACACATCTAAGCTTGTAAACTAAAACTTTAAATATGACAATGCTTTATTAAAAAAACACTTTTTGAGGAAGATTTGCTTTAGAATAGTTGTTTCTAAAAGTTGTAAACTTCAGACCCACAAAATAACAGTAGAAGAGGCTTACAACCATCACTAATAGTTAATAACCMTGTCTAATAAGAGATTTAGGAGAATAAATGTGACCCATCATATCGAAATGAGGATTAATTAAGTCAAATTTGGTCAAAATGACCTCATTACATTTTCAGATTCTTGGCTTTAAAAGCTACATTTTGATACCTGGATCATTCTG